ATGATGGTCAACAGTTTTGTAGGGGTAGTTATATAGCTGGCACTCTGGAGAGTGTTGTGGCTGTATTCTGTCAACAGGCAAAAGAAGTGTTTGGGGTTTCTTAGCAAAAGTTAATGGTTGACGTTTGGTGCAGGAAAGTCTAAGGTTATGATACATCCAGCTTAAGAATGGAGGTGGAGGCGGTCACTAGCTTTCCGCTGGTTAAAGAACACCACACACACACATCATGATTGTAACTGACTCAGAAAGCATGCCGAGGAAGATCAGGACAGGTATGATTCGTGCAGAGTGGCATGCTTCACTACGGAGGACACGGGTGAGGAGTATTGTTTGGATTTTGTCACCGGGAGACGCCGGTGTGTTGGGAAATGAATAGGTGAACAGACTGGCTAGCTCTGCACAACTTGGTGGGATACTGAGGCATGATAAGGCAGATGTGGTAGTGCCTTGGAGAGCGTGTAAGTTCGGAGGAGCAGATGGATCACCACAGTCATGTGAGATTGATGCAGGGGGGAGTGATGAGAGGTTCTGGCAGATGCTCGAGGCTCAGAGGAAAGGCAAGACGGATGTTTAATCAGAATGCTACTGGCACCATTAGTATTGGAACTCTTCGCTGGCTGCTGAAGATGGGGACTGAGCGCACCCTGAGTGCTGTGATGTCGGTTCTTGAATCACCTCAACTCCATTTAGGTGCCCACTGAGTGGAATATGTTGTGTTCTGAGTCTGAAGATAGTGGCCTGGTCCCTTCTTGTTAGATGATGCTTAGTGGCTTAAACGGTATTAGAATCATTTCACAATCTAAACTTTTCATGCACCAGGGTTGGATTCCCATGGTGGGCGGGTTATAAAAAAAACTTCTCTTGTGGCTTTATGACAGCAGTACGAGAGTCACATTGTGGAAGACTAAGGCCTCATATAAATTTCCCAAAGACAATAATTATATTGCAGCCAACCTTAACTGTGGAGATAGCACAGTTTTATTTTTCTTTTCTTTATTTTTTATGACATGCCAGGTAGGACCTAGTGATGGGATTCTGTGATTCTGCCCAAGGACCCTGGTAATACATGGGCTTGTCTGCAGCATTTTAACAAACATATACATAGCACTGCCCGGCTCTCTAGCATAGATGGCTAAACCGGATTGCGAGGATACGAACTCTTTGTGGTCCGGGCTCACTCCCGGGGGTAGGCAGAAAAGCCACATTTCTTCCAGATTTACGGTATTTATCATGGAATCAAGGCCGAAAGGTTGCGATATCCATAATACCGAGCCTAAGGGTCATGACTTCTGGATAATAGAACAAACAACAATACACAGCACTAATAGAAAAACTAAACATTGACAGAAAACATCTACGAATGAAAAAGAACATTTATTGGCAGCAAACAGCTGCTATAAGAATTAGCAACCACTTGAGAATATTTCAGAGCATAAAGAGGCAAGTATGTCAAATATGTATACATTAATTAGATTTGTTTTAATTGTACGGAGAATTTATAACGAGATCATGATTATGCCACCAATTTTGGTTGGTGGGCATAACATAAACAATGTAATGAACTTGAGGAATTGATAGATACAGTGGTTGTATAAAGGTATAAAATGGGCCTCCATTTGAATAGTGGAAATAAATAAATAAAGGCAATATCAAAGAAAAGAATAGTGCCTAAATGTATAATAAAAGTTAAAGGCATTATTTTAGGACAAGTACATAAATTTAAATATCTAGGCACATGGATAACACCTGACGGAAGATGTATCGCATTGATGAAGAACAAAACAGGACAGGTCAAAACTGCCTTTTATCAAATGAAGAATGTCTTATGCAATAAATTAATGTCTCTGGAAGTTAGGGACAAAAATTCTTGCATGCCAGTGTTAACATATTGTTGTGAATCCTGGACAATCAATAAAAATAATTTCTTGAGGCCTCGGAGATGTGAGTTTACACAAGAATCCATAGAATTCATCGGACAGCTAAAAAGAGTAACCCAGATGTTCTGAAAAAGGTGAGGATTTGAAGAGAACTTAATCATACACATCGGAAAGAGATAGTCATAATTTCTTGGTCACGTTATGAGGAGGAGGAAAGTGGAACATGTTATGACTACTGGAAAGATCAGTGGAATGAGCGGCTGAGGAAGACAATGCAAGCCTCTAGTCATAACAGGGAGGGGTGTCAACACACGAGAATGATACATGCAGTTCCGGATTGTAGATTGTGGAGAGGCATGATCGTACACTCTGGTCAGCAAGGCACTTGATGATGTTTGTTGTTTGTGTTCACCAGCTGTAAACCTTGGCAGAAAGACCTGGTTGTTCGTCCATTTCTGGACTTTGGTTTTGTTCCAGGACCTGAGTTTTGCGTGAGCATCCATTTTACAGATCTTATTATTTGTATGCAGGCTGTTGGTTCCTTGCCTCTCAGGCAGATGCACTATGACTCTGAAGGAAGCCCCCAGTTAGTCGACTCTTACGACATACGTGTTGTGGTCACAGTGGGTGCTTTCTTGATTTCCCACATTGGGACCCCGGATCCCACATGGGGATCTTGATGATGATATACATAGCATCAAAAAAGTACATTTGATTATATACACCCACATGGGGCAGCTGGTTAATATGTCCTCGCTGGGTACCTCACCCCTTTTGCCATGTGAATGCTAAATAAAATAGGTCATTAACCAATGGGAATTCCTTTAAAAACAAGTCCTTAAAAACTACCATTCTACAAAGATCACTTTTACATTTATTTATCTACATTTCTAATTTCCCCCCAAATACACATATATTTTTATTAAATATCCAGAAACCATCATGAGTTGTTAACCCTTTGTCTCGATACTATGGATATTGCAACCCTTCGGACTTGATTCCATGATAGATACTGTAAATCTGGGGAGAAATGTGGCTTTTCTGCCTACCCCCGGGTGTTAACCTGGACCACAAGGAGTCCATCGCCCAGTCGCTGCAAAGTCAGGTTTAACCAACTTCGCTAGCAAGCTGGGCATATATGTATATATATATATATATATATATATATATATATATATATATATATATATATATATATATATATATACACACACACACACAGTCGGCGTCTGTGGCTTAGGCGTTGCAAACACGCTTTGTAATGTCAGGGTTTCGGGTTCAGCCCCAGTTGCGGGCCTTGCGTCTTGCGCTGGGTTTCGACAGTGGTATCGAGAAGCTGACCATCCAGAAAGCAATGGCAAACTACTGGAGGTAAATCTGCCTAGAAAAACCACAACAGCAAAAAATGCTGGAGTTGATTCTGCAACATCCTGTAAAGGATATGCAACTAATTATATATACAGGCAACAGAGTGAAGCAATTCCCAGGGGGCCTTAAAATTACATATATATATATATCTAGGGACTCACGGCATGACCTCAATCACTGAGGCTTGGTTTCAAACTTCATAAGAAAGTCCCGCTAAGTGCCATGTCTAGTTACTATATTAACATCCTGGCCTATTAAACACTGCGCAGGTGCATACAGAACCAATAGAATTTAACAATGCTTTTTGAGGGTAGGACACTGCAGACAGGTTGGTATGTTTTCATTCACGGGACTGTCTACACAAGACTAGGTTTTCTCAGGGTGACAGGGCTTACGTGATTTGCCCACTGGATTCTCATCCAGATGGTGTCTCTTAAAGTTAATGTGTGTTTTATCTTTCCAAATGAAACCCTTAACTCTTTCAGGCCCATGAATTTTGACAGACTTGGCCCACATTAATTTCCCTTTACAAAAATGGCAGAGGGGTGAGTGTACAAGAAAGGCTTTAGAGACTGTAATATACTTCTAATCCCTATAACAGTATATATTTTTTAAACGAGAAATGAGTGTACATTCTGAATCTGATGATAAGTGTTTGTTTAATTTTGTTATAGTTAGTGGAAAAAGAAGAATTCAGCAGGTGTTAATTTTACAAGGACAACATTTCACACAAAAAATTCTTCACTTACCATGGTTTTGCAGCCACAAGAATAGTAAATATCCAAATTTGAGAACAAAACTTCAAAGTTTGTTCAATTTCCTAACATATTCTAAAGTTATGATAACTTTCTGGGTTAGTTTATCACTCAGGAGCTCTTAGTTCCCACCGAGTGCTAAGCAAAATTTCAGAGACAAAAATGGCAGAAAAATGAGCCATAACACACACACTATTTACTATTCACTTTGTACAGTTATTTACAGACTGTAGCTGCAATGATTTAAATGTAGCTTAGCAAGAGTATAGTTCTATCTCTTTGTTTAGAGCACTTTCCTTCTCTTACATCATAAATACGGTAGTATGGGACATTGTATGTGTAATAAACTCGTCAGAATCGCTAGATTCCGAACAGTTTATAGCTCAGCTTCACTGGTGAAAATTCACTGTCTGAATCACTTTCCGAAAAAATCTAAATTTGTATTATCATTTTCACAATTAAAAACATCTGACTGAAACAATTTCAGAGCTTCGGCCGCAGAAAGACGAATTCTGCGACATGTTCTTGTGGTTAGAACATTGGTATTCCGTGCACTCAAAAACGAACTTAGAAAATAAACTGTTAAAAAAATTTGGATGTATTTTTCTTTCAAATTATCCACGTGTGGTTTAGTCCAAGAAGTGAAACTAAAAGGATTTCGACAGAGTGACTTTCCCTGAATAGGTTATTCGTACCTCCAAACATCAGAAACTAGTACGAACGCACATGCGAAGCAAAATGTAAGAGATACACAATTAACAATGACACCGTTGTTTGGGCAGAACGGAACTTCTCAAACTACGCTCACACCGTTGTTTGGGCCTTAAAGAGTTAAGGGAATAGTGAAAAAAAAAAAACACACACACACACACATAAAAAAGGTCAATTTGCTCCTGTTGGAATCACATCCAGATAGCACCTCTTCGAGTCACTGCGTGTTTGTCTTCCATGAAGAAACCCTCGAGGGGAAAATGTAAAACAAAACGTCCCACAAATTTAATTATTTTTTATGTTTGTACCAGACAAAATAGTTACACCTGTATTCTGGATTACCTTTCGCCCCCTCAGGTCTTGCACACACGTAGAACTGCTTATTCTTGTTAGGTCCTTTCTTATTCACTGTCTTTAATATACACGGCTCTTTATGGCCAGGGCACAGAGGTGGCGGAGGTGGACCCGAGAGGAGTGACTTCCAGGCTTGGCCGCTGTCAACACATTGTGCAGAGTTGGTACGCAGGTCTGTCAATGCAGTAGTGGTAGATTTGCTGGATTCACCGTTTGATGCTTTGAAATGAAACTTGTTGGACTCTTCTAATAAATAAAGATCTGACTGGCAAATGCTCTGTGATTCTAGCAGACTATTTGACTCTTGTGAGTGATGGATGCTTTCCTCCGAATCGCTGCAGGACAACGTACAAACGCTTTCAGAGGCAGAAGAGTTGGTGGGTGCCAGTTCATACCCTGCACCAATACCTGTGACATTACATGTAGGTCGTAGTTCACAGTTTCTACTGACTTCACCGCAACTGTTATTTCCTGGAAATTTTGTCTGACCCGAATCAGCTTTTCTGAAAAAGAACATCAAACTGGATTGTTTTGAGATCATCTCGTCCGGCTGCATCTTCAGTTTTTTGCTGTGTTTTACATTTGCTGCTGCACTTCTTTTTCCATGGAGTTTACTTGTTTGTCGAACAGCACTTTTCTTTAGCTCAGACTGCGACAAGGGAAAACTAGATGAGTGTGAAACAGATCCTACGGCTTGAGATCTTTTCACATCTGGAACATTTTTGTTACCATCTGAAAATGGTATATACACTGATGTAGATTGATTTGTATTCTGTCGGACCGATTTTGGAAAGAATGATGATAATTTCTGTTGCTGACCTTTAAACTCTGGCATGTATTTAGAACACAGCGATGGACAGACTGTAGAAGGCACAGGATCACAGTTCAATGTAACAATAACTGGACAGTGGTCAGAACCTTCTACATCTATCATAATCTCGGAACTACAAACATATGGGGATAGTCCTGTGTCTATAAGTATGTAGTCCAAACGTCGGCCGTAATTTGTTTTTCTGGCATCTGTACTGGAGGTCCAGTTAGTGAAAGCATTTTCTTGATCCACATGCAGTTGGCGATAAACGTCGCTGAACATTCCTCCTTTCAAATCTGGGAGAGCTACTTTCGTCAAACTATCGTCATTTTCTGGAAGGGATGGGTCACGTTCCAATACTTGTAAAAACTTATTCATCCAAACTCGACTTGTTCGAACATTACAATCGCTATTGCATTCTGGGTCGCAGTTATCAAGGTCTCTATGAGCCAAGTTCAAGTCTCCCAAAATGATCACATGAATGTTCTGTTTCAGCAATTCTTCCGCTCGACTCTGAAGAAGAGTTAAAAATTTTAATTTGTACCATAACCTATCTTCTTTATCCCCGGCCCTGGGAACATAAACATTGAGTAGTGCCACATCTTTAACTTCATTGGTTGGTAATCTAATCTGATGCTGAGTGATAATACAGCGACCTTCCGCATCCAAGGATTCAAGGTCTGCCGAAGTATAATCAAAAGTATTGCCGTAACATTTAATTATGCATTCGTGGCTTGTAGAAAGTCTGCCAGTTAGGCCTTCTTCTGCTTTCTGAGGAGAAACTCTAGCGTTACAATAGGTAGCAGTGCCAGAGTAGCCTGTTCTTTTCCTTGAGAAACTGAAATAAGAATCATAGCCGTCAACGATGGCAACTGGTTCGTCAAGCATGTCACGGGTGACTTTAGTCTCCTGTAAACAAATTATATCCGCTTTTAATGAATCCAATAGTACTTTTGTGCTTTTTTCTCTCACAGCTCGGATACCATTGATGTTCCAAGTCACAATTTTTAGTGGCATTGTTAATTTTTTTGTATAGATCTTTATCTACTTATTGTCTCTGCAGATTCTGAAAGAATGATGACAGCTTCTGTCCTTCAGAGGTCTACCATTAGTGAAAACACAACAGCAGCTTTATGCATTTTTGTTTGTTTGTTTACACAGCTCGGATACCACTGATATTTCAGGCTGCAATATTTAATGGCACTGTTAATTTCTTGGAACTGCTTATTTTCTACAGACTGTGTGAATATTGGATGACGTATGATGACGTTGATACCCTGTAGATGTTTGGTATGTAGAGCAACACAACCGTAGGCAAACTGCAGATGACAAAGGAACACAGTTAAACGCAATCATAAATGGACAATGATATGTACCTTTCATTTCTAATTCAATCTTGGAATTTGAAACACACCAAGCAACACCATCCTAGATCATTTTACATATTCCCAAGGGTTCATTACTCTATATGATTATTACCATTATTTAAAAATCGCGCTTAACATATATTAAACTTAACAATCTATACTGTTAACACCTTTAACAATTAATACATAATGTATGCAAGATTAAATAACCAAAAGTAATTAACAAGCATAAATATTCAGTATTGAAATTAAAAAGA